ATGTAGATATAGATATTGGAACACGGTCCCAAATTTGTAAAAAGTGAGTCTTATCGTATCAAAAGTAGATTAGCGTTGTTGAATAGCAGCTATAGAGACGTTATTGCATAGTGGAATTTGAACAAATCACTATTGTTCCGTGATAGACTATTTTGTACTAAATATTGTGAAATAGCAGCAAAGGTTGAACTATATCAGTGTTGTGTAGCAGAAACAAACTTCTATTTTCCACGATATGCTATTGACAACAATGAGATGAAGGATATGCCAATAAGCAAGATATAGAGGCGGATAATTTATCTATAGACCTAGTATACTACAAGATTTTATGATGTCTACTGTTTTATGTACCCGATTTTACATAGTGGAAAAAGACTTGGTAGAAGACATTTACTCTTGAAATCTACAGGGTTATGGGATCACATATCTCTGCTTGAATTTGTTCAAGCTGATAAAACACAAAACCTATAGTTTACTCCATAGGTTACTTAAGACTTCTTTATTTGTGGTATTGCTTAATTTTCTTTCTATTTATGCAACATTTCAATAACATTGTCCTAAAATTTATAGTTATTCCTATCCAAGAAATTACATTTGACACTCATTTAGTTTGTTATTGATCCAGATGGAAGTGTATTTGTAGAATATGAGTAAGATCAAACAGTATTAATAGAGTTCAAAATATAATTATTTAGTCATATATTTTTTCCATGTGTCCACGCCTCTATGATTGTAGTTTTCAATACGACTCAAATACTGATGCAGAGTATGTTGTTCAATTGTAGGCTGGGCAAGAATCTTTTAGATCCATCACTAGGTCTTACTACAGAGGAGCAGCAGGGGCACTTCTAGTTTATGACATTACAAGGTTGGTGGTGCTATTGTCCCTTTGACACAATCATGATCTGCATCTTTATAATGATACCTAACTTTATATCCCGCTTTTCTATATGCACTTGATATTTGCCACTCGGATGAATGTTAAATGTTTGAATATGTTGATATTCACAGTGTTTACAAAAGGATTTGACTCCCATTGATTGAAAATATATGTGCGTGCTGTTAAAATCTCAACTGTTGCTTTTCCAATCAATAAGCATAGTTGCGAAGTGAAATGCTGTAAATATGTTCCTTATCTTTTGTTATTGTTGATTTGCCTATTTGAAAGTTTCAATTCTTCTTCTGACTTTCAAGTCTAGAACATTAGTGGTTTACTTTCTTATCAAAATAAAGTTCAAACCGTCTTATATGATTTTCCCAATCCCTCATCTGAGGCGCTCTAGTAATGCTGGTTGCAGGCAGGGTGTTTTCATGGTATTTTTCTGTCTCAAGTTTATAAATAAACGTGATATGTGTTGAGAGTCGCGCATTGGAGGATATTTAACTTGAAAAATGTGTTTATAAGTGGGAGACATCCTTCACCTTACAAGACATCTTTGTAAGAGTGAGTTAGATCCAAAACTAAAATTTTAAGATAAATATAAGAGCCCGTCCAAGATTTTTGGGTCACCCACAATCATATCACGCCTCAAATGTCTAGTCCTAGGCGTGAGTGGGTGTGTATTGAGAGTCCTACATTGAATGAGCAAAAACCTAAACAATGTTTTATTAGTGGGATAGTATCAGAGTCCGTCCAAGATTTTTGGGTCACCCACGATCTAATCACGCTTCGGATGTCCAGTCCTGGGCATAAGTGGGTGTGTACTGAGAATCCTACATTGGATGAGTAAAAACCTAAAAATGTGTTTATTAGTGGGAGAATCTTTATATAAGTCAGTTTTGTAGGGTTCAATTAGATCTAATCCAGATTTTAGGAGTACGCATCCCTTTTTCCTTTGTTGTGGGTTGCAAAATAATGTACACTTCTGTTCCATATAAACAAATCAATTTATGTCCAATCCCGTCCTTTTATGACTGTATGTGGTTTGCTTATTTTTCAAATCACGCCTTCAACTAAAAACTGGAAAATTCATTTTATGATCAGGAGAGAAACCTTTAATCATTTAGCAAGTTGGCTAGAAGATGCGCGGCAGCATGCCAATCCTAACATGACAATCACACTCATAGGGAACAAGGGTGATCTGTCTCACCGAAGGGCCGTCAGCAAAGAGGAGGGAGAACAATTTGCAAAGGAAAATGGACTTTTATTCATGGAGGCTTCTGCCAAGACAGCGCAAAATGTGGAAGAGGTGATTGATCTTTGATAGCAAGAAAGATGCAGCATAAATATATCATAGCCATAAACATATTATGATTTTGATTACCATCAAACGTAACCAAGTGCTTATTCTGCAGGCTTTCATAAAGACTGCTGCAAAGATTCTTCAGAACATCCAGGATGGTGTTTTTGATGTGTCCAATGAGGTAACTATCTACCGTCAGCTCCGTGTAAAAATATATGCAAAATCAGTTTCGATGATCGCTTTGGTCCCGTGCCACGCCCTATATGGCAAATGGTTTATAAATCAAAGTCCATGTGATGGGCCGTTTGTTTAAGATGAAGAATCAATGATTTTCTGACAAAATAATTTAGAGATTAGTTTAAACTAAATGAATCAACTGAAGTAAAATCATGGATGCTTTTTCCTCTTTTAACGCAATTATGTGGCCACTGATCTTAGCCATCAGATCAAGATTAGATCAATCCCATTTTATTAACTCTGTATTTTGGACTTCATTACCCAAGTCAGAATGCGAGCCATTCGATCTTGACCCGACAGTCCAGATCGTGTGGCCGCGTCAAAGGCTTGGTCCATTTTCCTGCTGCCTAATGTTTCCTTATGGCTAACTTTTTCAATGAATCTACAATTGCAGACATGTGGTATAAAAATCGGCTATGGACGTCCACAAGGCCAAACAGGAGGCAGAGACGGAGCTGTTGCTGGAGGAGGTGGATGTTGCAGCTGATTTTGAGGGAAAAAAACTCTGAATCCAATCCTTTTGTGCATCTATCTCTGGAAAACTGAGTGTATACTCTTTTAGACTTGACATGGAGCTTTTTTATAGCACTTCAGTTTCATGTATAGTTTTAATCTTAAAGGCCTTCTTGTGACAAATTTGACTGAATAGTGGATAAGTTTTAGTGAATGTTTCAATCGTTGGCTGTTATGTTAAATTCCATTATCAATTCGTTCTATGCCAAGTTTTTTATTTGCTTGTATCGTTCCATTGTTTTCCTTGCAATGACGAAGTAATTTTTTGAGTAGGTATTACCTGTGACAAACCATATTTTGGAATGATATTTGAGGATTGTAGAGCTTTATGTTTTAACTTTATTTATTTTGTTTGTAAACATGTTAGAAAGAGAGAGTAGTCAATCAGCTCATTTGTTAGTCAATTTTGCTTTTGCAAATTCTAACTCAGTTAGGATAAAAGAGATGGTGTATAGGTGCCTATGTTAGGTCTAATAGAAATACAATTGTCAAAATACAACTGACAAAGTAACTAACTAACCGTTGTTACTAATATACTCTAATACACGCCCTCAAGCTTAAGGTGTTTTCTTGGTGAGAAGTCAATCACATTGAACTTGGAAGGCATGTCAAAGAACTTGACAGTGGTAATTGGCTTGGTGAGGATATCATCCCACTGATTAAAGCCAAAAATGTGTCTCATAGTGAGTTACTTTTCTTCTTGAGCTTGTCAAGATGAGTTTCATGAACAAGTAACAATACCTTAACTTTATAAATATCCATAATTTCAAAATTACCTTTAACAAAGGAAATATATTGGATCATACTCTTGAGACAAACTTCCTAATATCCACATAAAAATGTTGATTGATAAGTACATGATCTCCAATTGATGTTAGGTTATTAACGAGGAGGCATATATGTAGTAGATATTCTTGAACGAGTACACCTGAGAACACGAGCGATAATCTCGGTGGAGAATGTGGATTGAAGTCACAGAAGAAGCATTTGATCACTTTGATGCCACTTAATGAACTCATAGTTCAGTTAGCCAGATGCATGGTCTTTAGAATAGGGAAATCTAAGTGAAATTAAAGGAGAAATGAGAAAATCGTGAAGGTTGTGAGCGTAAATGTAAAGCTCAACTTGGCGTTAAACATGTTGATTTTTCTTATCTAGTTTCTCTCAAATATTCAAGGAGATGCAAAATAGAACGTAATGGAGATTCATCATCTAGGAAAGAATTAAGTGATGGAGAACGAAGGAAAATGTCATCACTAGTACAAGGTTGGTGAAAGTGGAGGAGAGGGACACATAAGAGGTTCTATGATCAGTAACTCATAGTAACTCATATATAAGGTAGAATTCATAGCTATTTCTATTTTAGAATATTTGGCTTTTCATTTATTTAAATAGAGAAATTATTACATCATTACTATATAGGAAGCTAATCCTCCGTGAGTGTGAATTGTTATGATCATGTGCCCATGTTAGAATATTCCTATCATTCTCATAATTGATTCTAATACTGTGCTTAGAGGCACATGTTAGATCTAGCATAAAGAGCTCCTAGATAGACTTGGCATTCTGAGCATATATAAGGTAGATTGAAGAACTCTTTTTTTTTTTTTTTTAGCACGCGATTTTAGAAGTCAAAAACTTCTATAATACCTCTTGGAATCAAAGTATTATAACACATTTTAAGTAATAAAAAGCAACAAAAATATTTAAAAAACAGTTCAGATAATAAAATAAAAAACTAGAGTTTTAAAAACAATAATGATATATTCCAAATCAAATAACATTATATTGGAATCAAAGTATTCGTATTGTTGACAACAAAAGATTTAAAGTGTACAGGTTACAACTTCATATTTTTGTAATAGGGGCGGATAAATGCATGGAAAACAAGGTTTTGCCCAATTCAAAATTTTCAGCTCAAGTTGACATAATTGCCTGTTATGTATACATATTACTTTGATTTCCAGTTTCGAAACCTGAATAAAAAAGTAAAATATTATAGCAAATGAATAAATACATCAAGGTAGCATCACCCCATGTTGTAGGCATATCATATCAATACATGCATTACAAGCCGCCCAATACCTGCAAAAGAATCAAAGTGGAGAATCTTCAATTAAAATCTAATGAATTCACACATGTATAAAAGAAGAACAACAAAACAAAATGAGAGAATCAATAATGAAATTGATACTTACTGAATCTAGAAAATCATTTGACAGTTCAGGTTTACTTTGTTTAGCATCAGCAGCAATAGGTTTTGTTTGAGGGAAATGCCGAATCACTTTTTCCACTTGTACTGAGTCGTGTTGAACCTTCTGCTTCTGTACAAGCCAAATGAAGTGATTCATCAATATACATAATAGATAATATTCATTGAAATTTGAAAAGTACAGATAAAAAGAAATAGCTGAATCATTGTTAATTTTACTTCTAATCAAAATGTTTTGTGAAGCATGTCATGTGAGTCAGTGTGATGAAAGCATAACCAAAAAGAAGTAAATCATCACAAATTATTGTGGATTTAAGGAAGGCTTGGGAGTTTTTGTCTTGAATGAAGTGGCAGAGGCGCTTAAATCATCACAAGCGTTAGCTACTACAATGCACAACTAGAAATGGTCTTGCACGGTGCAAGATCATTTTAAACCTCTAGATGAAAGAGTTCCACCAAACCTGTCCTACCCCTCCCATCTACATAAGTTGGATGCTACGTTGATCTTGTAGGTGTCGACAGAGAACTTGTCAGATCTTGAACATCACAACGAATGGATGACAGGCGGAAGCCCTCTTTGCGACGAGAGGTGGGGGCTGACGAGGTGCAACGACGATGATGAGAGGACACGTGCTCAGTGGATGTCACGAAGGAAAGAAGGCGCATGTCGGACGAGCATCATTTGGCGGTGGCGGCGATGAGGGAGTCTATTTGCTTCCTATTTTTTATTGAGTTGAGGTGGCTGGTGGAGGTTTAAATGATGTTCCTCCCCCTAGTTTTTTCTCTGTTTTACTAAACCCTTTTTTTTTTTACTGAGGAGGTAAAAGTGAGGATGAATGCATTTTATTTTGCAAAGGCAGGCGGGAGTTTTTGTCTTGAATGAAGTGGCAGAGGAGCTTAAAGATTGTGAGAAAAAATGGAGAACCATGGAGGCGGAACAGCAATGAGGAAAAATTCAGTATAGATAAAACACCATAAGATCTAATGAGATTTAAAAATCTATTGATAAATAAAACTTTTGCACAGAAGCACCACTAAATGTGGTTGGTTGTGCACATTACGCAGCCTCTAAAACAAGTTCTTCCATTCCACAATAAAATCCTAGTTACAGAGCTTGCAAGCCTATTTTGCTTTTAAGGAGTTACAAAAATAATTCAAGAAAAACACATTGAAAAATATTATGCCTGTGCCATGGACCACAAAATAGAAAGGGATCAAAATTTAATAATACACTAGTGTTCTGTGGATTGTGAAGAAGTCACAGATCTAGCAAATATAAAGGTTTTGCTTGTGGTGATTTATACAGAATGAATGTGGTGGTGGGCGAAAAAGGAAGTCAAAGAAAGCGTAAACACTATCATTGTCATTTATATAGAAAACCCAATAACAACATTATGCTTTGTCACTTGCTAATTTCAAGTCCCATTTTCTGACCAGCCATAGGTAATTGATTATAAAAAATACAAACAAGTAATTTCTTTAATGAAAACCACTGTTACAATTCTATTTTTTGATATCGCCAAACCAATGCTAGAAAAGGTAGTAAAAAAATATTGTATTAACCAAGGAAATCAACAGATATGGATTAGTGAGAACTTATTTTCTCAATGAGGACATATTGAAACTGAAATTTGAATTAAGTCATGGCATGATAACTTCATTTAGTGTTAAGTTTGGGTCAAGTGCAGAGACAGTGTACCTTCTTTAACCTCTCCACAATAGCGCTCGAAGCACGTGACTGATCAACTTTGGACCTATAGAAATCCCTCTCTTTCTTGGCAGCAGAAATTTCTAATGCCACCTTTTGCTCCCGAGTAGCTCTCTTGAAGGCTGTAACAAATATGTTTAGCTTTAGCTTGAGCTGCTTATTCCTCAATAAATTAAATCAGGAACTGATCATAAAGTGATTTACCTAGTTCTTCAGTTAGATCATCCCACTTGAACTTGCTTAAGTACTTAATATTCCAAAGGTCATAGTAGAAAGACGACCTCTTCCTCCCCCCTAATAAACACAATATGATTCAGAAACACTGTTGCGCACAAATTTTATTTTTGATTCATCAACTTTAAAGAATAAAATAATTCTAGAGTTAAACAAATACCTATTTGTTCACCATTTAAATTATTAGCAACCCTCTTGGCAACAAATTTATTGGCAAATTCAACCCATCTACACAATCACAAAGCAAAAATCCAATCATCAAAACCCGCCAACATAAAAACATAATCAGCAACCACCTTAAAAACTTCAATCAGATGCCAATCCAGTCCAATTTTAAAATCAAATAAAATAAACAGTCACCCTTCTGAATAAGCTTGGTTTTGAGATGCCCGTGCCCGCTTGAATTGCACTCTGGCAGAAGACTCTGTTAAATTAAAAAAACAAATAAAAATCAACCAACCTTAGAACTAACTAACCAAGCAATAATATACTACTCAATCATGTCTTGAACTAAGCATAAAAGCACTCATTTATGTCCTAAAATACCTCCGAATTAGTATATGCTTACTTTCCAATAACTCTTTTAGCTTCATAAAATAAGTTCCCATGAAGGGTACTTTAGATTAGAAAACGCACATGTATTTTACGCATTTAACTATATTTGTCAATAAAGCCTTCTTTGGATAAACAATTTAATTAAGCTTAAGCATATGAGCCAATCATATATGTCTATATGTATAAGCTATATCTATAACAATAGATTAAAAATATACAGTCAAGTTGTTTTCATATATGCTATAGCTTGTTTTCATAACCTATCCTAAGAAGCTTGTAGAATTAAGCTGAAAATAGCTTACGAAATGTCATAAGTTGTTTCCATTAGCTTTCCCAAACAGTCTCATAAGTGCTTATGACAATAGATAAGCTCAAATAAACCAACCAGAAATACGATTGTAGCACTGACACCTCTGAGAAAATGTGTGTCGATGTCTGTGTCCAAAACCAACATCGGCACAAGTGATTACGTTTAATTTATTCATTATTTTAAATTATTATTGGCATCGATGTGGTGTCAGAATGGTGTTTCCGGTGTCAAATGTCAAATTTTTATTCAACAGATGTTCTATCTTACACTATCCTATGAGTTTATTTATAAAAACTAAATGCAATGTGATATCAACATATAAAAATTAAAATTAAATTGAATGTAAGTAAAAGAAAAAGTTTTTGTGTGTGAAGAGTGAGTAACCTTGAGGAGCGAGAAAAATCCTCTGAATATCCCCAAATTGAGATAAAAGCTGTCGAAGCTTAACATGATCCATGTGAGGAGGAATTCGACTCAAATAGCAAACACCACGCTTTTGAGCAATCTCCGTTTCCTTCTCCAGCTTCTTCTTCATCTTCAATTTCTTCTTCAATTTCAATTTCGATTCCAACTCCTTGTTCTTTTCATTCGATGGTACTGTTTTAGCATCAATCTCGTTATTTTCCTTTGGAACCTCCATTTTTTTCTTCTACTTCTTCTGTGTTTATGTGGTTGAAAAGGAGAATGCGGAGGAGTAGGTTATTGAAGGAGCGTGAGTTGCGATGGATTGCAGGTGGCGATGCCGAAATGCTGCGACGGTGTTGTCGCCGGAGTTCTGGGTAGTGCCGATGGGCGATAGAAGAAGAGTTAACTTAGGGTTTATAAGACGGAGGAGAATCTTAACACTAACCAAACGACCTCGTTTTGCAGGTTTTTTTTATTTAACTTTTTTTTTTTACAAATTAATTTCAAATATTAGTTGATTATAAAAATTAAAAATACAGCAAGCTCTTTTAAATAGTTTGTAGAAACCAGTCTAAATTTAATATATTTAGTAACCAAATCATTAAATCTTTTAACTCATACCAAATGAAAATAATTACTTTTTTTTCAATGAAAAAAAGAAAAGAAAAGAAAAAAATGATAGAAAATTGAGTTATTGGAAATTGAATTCTCTTAGAGTCTATTAAACAAATATTAAGTGAAGGAGAAGGATAAATAAAAAACACTCTTGCTTTCTAAACAAATGAATTTAGGAAATTAATCGATACTAACATTTCTTCCGTGTAAAGTGTGAACAAGGACAAATTATCTTTTTTTTATGAATAATAGATTGAATATAATTCATCAAACGAACATAGGAGTGAGTATAAGACACACTGTTTTGAATAAGTTTCAAAGTTATTTGAGAATTAGACTCGTGCATCATATTTTTTTGGAACCTTGCTTCCAAGCAATATCAAGACCATAAAAAATATCTTAAAGCTTGATATTAATATTAAAGGTGAAACCACAACTTCCTATAAAATTTGTGACTCAACCTCCAGAAACGTTTCTCAAAAGACCACCAAAATCAGATGGCTCTGGATTACCAATGAAACTATCATCTACATTAACCTTTATCACATTCTTTGAGGGAGGGTGCTAAGAAATAAGTCTAGGGGCTAATACCTTATATAACCACCAAAAACCTTCTTGGGGGAGTGTAAAAAGGTGGTTATTTGGCTAACAATAATCTAGAGAAAGCAAGTTGTCTTTATAGGATTCTTCGTTACGAGATTTTCCAATCATCTAACAACAAATGAGAAACAAAGAGCCATAATTAGCAACCACATTAATTTTCATTCGATTATACATATTAATCTCATAAAAATGAATGTGAGATGGAAAACTGAAATTGTTCCAAACTTGCATGGCCTTAGGGCAATTTTTAAGATTGTGTAAGATAGTTTTATTAGTTACGCGACATCTATAACAAGAAGCATATATTAAAATATGATGAGTAACTTCACATGTATGACGATCCAAACAAAATGACAAATATTTTCAGATAAATTAAGGTTTCAAATCCAAGACCAAATCATTGTCTGAATTTTAGGTAAATTGGACACCTAAGTTAACCAAGAATAAGCTTATTTGGTAGAGAAACTTCCTATGAAATACTTATATGTGATAACTAGGTTAGAGACATACAAATGAATTATTATGTGAGAATATATACAAACACTTACTTCAATCAAATTTGTGTGTGTGCTCGTGCGTGCGTGTGTGTGTGTATATATATATATATATATATATATATATATATATATATATATATATATATATATATATATATATATATATATATATATATATATATATATATATATATATATATATATATATATATATATTGCTTTTGCACTCTAATATTATTTTCGCACTCTAGTTCCCAGTGAAAAATGACTATATATATATACACGACATTATTAAATTATGTGAGTATCAAGAACTTGGGTTGTATTTGTTACTTTATTGAGAATGAAGTAGTTGAATCAAATTTAGGTATTGTAATCTCTCTAGGAATGTATAATATTGATATTTTGGAGGAAACATTAGATTGCAAACATCTTGGTATTTTTATAGAATCTAATGAAAAGTTTTTTCCTAATAACGGGGAGCCCTATATTGATACATGATACAAAGACTTCTGGGAAAATTTAATGATCTCACCATGACTAGACTTGATATATTTTCGTGAATGTAGTAATCGAATTTCTCAATTCTCCTTGTGACAACCATTAAGAGGATGTTATTTGAATCCTTAAGTACATCAAATAATCACCTAAAAATGAGCTTATTTTTATTGATATATGCAACATTGATATCATTGGATATTTATTTGCTAATTGAGCCAGAGATGCAAGTGATAGACGATCTACACTAGGTTATTTTCGTTTCATTGGAAGAAATATGATTTCATAGAAAAGAAAAAAAGAAAATTGTTGTTGCTCGATCAAGTAGAAACACTAAGTATCGAGTTGTGGCTATGTCGCATATGAGCTCTTATGGTTGAAATATTTATTGTTGGAACTTCATTTTTGTGAAATCGTTCACATGGAACTTGTGTGCGATAATCAATTATCTTTGTACATCTCCTCCAATCCAATTTCTCGTGGGAGCACAAAATATATGGAAGCATATTGTCATTTTCTTAATGAAAAGATCATCACCAGAATCCAATTTTTGGGAGGATAAAATATATAGAAGTCGGCTTTCATTTTCACCATAAGATTATCACACACACACACACACACACACACACACACACACACACACACACACACAGACACACACGCGCGCGCGCGCGCACACACACACACACACACACACAAATAACACACAACACACACATACACAAACAAAGTCATTTATTCACAACGAGTCATCCCAAATTGTTGGAATACTTTTCTAGATCTTCCAAATCATGTCCAGGTGGTTGTTTCAAGCCATTCAAATGCTCTTACAATTTAAGTATTTGATTATAGTCCCTTAAACAATAAACTCAAGGAGTTTCTCCATGTAATTATCCTCTTCCAAGTCATCATGCATGAATACATTCTTGATGCCCAATTGAAATAGAGGTCAATGTTTCATGGATGCCATCTTCATAGAGACAAACATATGTCATCTTTGCAACATGTGAAAAAATATTACCCCAATTTAAGTTTTACAGTGTACTTGAATATATTACTCTGTCATTAGATGGACTTTCAAGAATGATTAAATTCTAATGCAGATATTTCACCAAGTATGATATGTCCTTACCTCAGATGAAAGAATGCTTCTTGAATAGTCTTAGGAATAAAAACATATGTAAGTGCAAAAACAAAAGCATAGTAGGTTGAAGACAAATTATAACAATACAAATAATTATAAATAGGATAAAGGTTACATGTTGATCAATTACCTTTACATACGAGAATGAGCAAATTAGGAGACATATGAGGAACTAGAGTAGGATAGGAGCATTTAGAATATAAGTTTAATCACATGGTCTGAACCTTTTCTTTGGTAATGTCATACTTCTTCAACAATATTGGAGACTCGGTTGAAGATGACATATCTATCACAATTGATGGACCATAAGATAAAGGAGTGGAATCGATAGACTCAAAATGGTGAATAAGCAACACTTGGTCTAAATCAGTTGAAAGAGTATTTAAGTTGGTAAAGTATAATATGTCCTTAAATAATGAAACATTTGCATATATGTATAAGTAATGTGTAAGGGATAGTGTTGTACCCCAAAATTTGCCCTCCCATTTCTCATTGATTTCTCACCACAAAGCCCTTGAAGCTCAAGATCCAGTTAGGGTTTCATCTGCTCAAGACCTCTCCTTGCACTGTTGACTCAAATTAGGGTTTGTGTTTGCACAAAGATGCTTTGACCTAAAATGCCTAAGATGACTTTCATGCTTCATATTGGACTCCCAAGTTTATCCATACCAAGTTTCAAACTTTGATTCCAAATTTTGCCCAGTCAATTGGACAGTTGACCTAGAAATCAGCTGTATTGGGGAAAAAGTCAACTGTGGCCAATTAACAGTCAAACCTCATCAAAAATTGACCTACATCAACATTATGAACTCATATGGTCCATTTGATCAAGTTTGGATCACAACTCCATAAGAAATTTGATCAGATCACCAAAAGGGCAAAATGGTCATTTTTAGGGTTTTGACTGCACAAAGGCAATTTTTGACTGTTTGACCTAGCCAATGGCAAACCAAGCTCATATATGGACTCAAGGACCCCATTGAATTATCTTGACATGCTTAACAAGCTCAAAAGATCCAAAGTACACAAGATTGACAGTTGAATTTCCCAGTCAATTGATCAATTTTGACTGTATACTGAAAAGTCAAACTTTGACTTTTTGGTCAAAATCAAGAGTCAAGATTCATTTTTCATCAAAACATGCCAAATCATGAAACTTGTTCACCAAGAAATCACAAAATGTAAATTAGGGTTAGAAATTTGAATTTTTCATAACTTAGAATTTTTCTAAGTTATAAAAAACCCTAATTTTTTCCCAACTTTGCCCCACTTTTTCACCAAGATCCATTTGGATTCAAACAAAAGTCAAAACATGAAAGTTGTAGCTTGTTGCATAATCTACAACTTTGATTCACAAAGTTTTCCCATTTGAGGCTTTTATCTCAAGTTACAAATTTTTGAATAAGGGCACTAAACCATTCTTAACTTAGTGAATTTTTGATCTATTTTGACAAGGTTTTCTACCCCACTTCAAGGCCATTTTACATACACTTCCACTTGGAATTTCAATTTTCATTTCAAAGATGGATTGTATTACACATTCCAAGCTTTCCAAAATGTCCAAGAACTCATCAAACAACCTCATGACTTGGGAGATTCGAATTTCACAATTTGGCAAAAACTCACTTTTGAATTGGCCATTTTTCATGTTCATAAGTTGTGCAAACTTCTCAAAACCAGCATGCCCTTGATTACAAGTCCTAAAACCATCCAACACTCAATAATTTAATGCATGTTCATTGTGTTAAGACCTTGTTTCATGAGCTAAAGCATTGTATGATGGATTAATCCCAAATTAGATAAAGCATTCTTTCTATTTTTGCAAAAGTTTCACTTTATGTCCAATTACAAATCCAACAAGTACAAACCAAATCCAAT